ACAGTCATTAGAACGAAGAACGAGCGTACGAACAAATGAAACACTCATACCCGCCGCTATTTGCTGCAGCGGGACAAGCCAAGCTTCTTACTAAGCCAAACAAACAAACGGCAAGCTTAATTGCACTCACCCGATCTCCTTCTCTACAGATCTCTTTTCGCAAAACGAAAAAACTTGCAAAGTGCAAACAAATTTATATATAGTGGTTGTAATTTCTAAAAATAGATGTACAATCAGAGTTCTATCTGTGTAAACTTTGTTGATTGCCTGATGCCTGCCTGCTGTTTTAGTCCCACAAACGTCGTGCTAACTGTTAATGGGAAGGGAGCGACATTCATAGATAAATGTGTGAGAGTTACAACAAATTATTGTAACATATTGCATTATTGTTAATCGATTTGCTGCTGCTAGTAGTGATAGTTCTGGCAGGAAATCAATGGATATCTGTTTGAAATATTTACATCTGGAAATTATAGATAAAAATTGGAAGGGGTCATATATCAATTATTAAATGCAATACTTAATGCATCCATGTTTATCAAATCCCTTGAAAATAGCCGACAAATTAAAACCAGGCAATAATTTTATGTTCTAATGCTTATGTTATATTGCCAATTTAGCTTCTCAGGCACATAATCTGAAAAAAAATAAGGCACTGATTAAATTCAAATTAAAAATTATGTTCATACAAATCTATTTTTTACTGGCTACACGAACCGAAAGCATACATTTCTCCATCCAATCACTAGACGCAATGATACCAACATCTATGGTAGATGGATAGACCGCTAAGAATTTCAGTCCTATGACAGCAAATTAAAACCGAGCAGCGAATTTTTGTACCTATGGCCTCAGTACACTCCTACGTTAGATTCTTGGTGTATATCATCTGCAAAAAAAGAGCAATACTTAAATCATAATTTAAAATTATAATCCAATTGGAATTTTCCTTATTTTGATAAAAAAAAGACTGGCTGGACAATCTGAAAGCATATAGTTCTAAATCCAATAACTAGACGCATCTACCTCTGGTAGACTAGATATGATTGACTGCCAAGAGCTTGAGTCCAATGACGAATTAAAATTGGGCAGAGATTTTTTTTGTTCCTATCACCTGAAAAAAATAAAGTCATGTTTAAATCATAACTCGAAATTTTATTCCAACAAACCCAATGTTCCTTATTTTGATATAAAACTGGCTGTTCGAACCGAAAGCATCCAGTTCTAAATCCAAAAACTAGACGTAATGGTACAATACCCCTGGTGGATGTGAAACTAAATATGATAGCAGCCAAAAGCTTAATTTTTATGACAACAATTTAAAACCGGTCACAGTTTTTTTTGTTCCTATGGCCACTCCTACTTTATCGTTTCAGTGCATATCATCTGAAAAAAATAATGAAAATTTTAAATCATAATTCAAAATTATATTCAGAACAAACCCAATTTCCCCTATGTTAATATAAAGACTGGATCCACCATTCCAGCGCATATAGTTCTCCATCCAATAAATACGCAATGATACCAATAATCCTGGAAGATGAAAAGCTAAATATAATAGACAGCTGGAGCTTGAGTCCTATGACAACGAATTAAAACCAGGTGGAGATTTTTGTTCATATGGCCAAAGTATACTTATAATTTAGCTTCTCGGTGCATAATTGAAATTCATATTCAGACATAACCAATTTTTTTATTTTGATATAAAGACTGTCTGTATGATCACAAAGCATCTAGTTGTCCATCCCATAACCATATGCTATGATGCCAACATCCCTAGTACCACTCCCTGGATACCACTTTTTGAGTTGGGGGAACAGACCAAGAGAAAGCAGAGTTCCTTCGTATTATTTCGGCATAATTTTCTCCAAGGAGGTTTTTTTATTTCATCTAAGTTAACGATTATTTTCAGACGAACTCAGTGTTTCTTCAGTTATCGTCAGAGCCACAACTTTATCAAAATTGTTTTCATATAGTAGGGGAACAGACTGATAGAGAGCTAAGAGTTTGCGTACTATGATTGCGTCAAATTTTTCTCCAATGATTGTTTGAAATTCATCTAAATTCGAGATTATGTTCAGACGAACTCAGTGTTATAAGGTAAATGGAATAACATTCTAAAAGTTACCAACTTTTATTTGGCCTTTATATCATCATAGTCTAGAAAACATATATGAATCTTTTCAATAGAGGTTCCCTTTCTTTACTCGACAGCTTTCAATTTGGCCCCTTTTTTTGCCACAACCTATGAAAGAGAAAAGAAACATTCAGAATTATAGCTAATTTCAAAAAAAAAATTTAAATTTTTATATATTAATTTAATTATTTACACTTTTTTATTATTTTAAAACAATCACTGTGTAGCATTTCTTTACTTACAACTTTCTCTGTGGCTTTTCTCAAGGACTGACTTACCTTTAAACTTCAATGTTCGGGTAACCGTTAATGTTAACCTTAAGTAGAAACAACAGACACTATTCCAAGCCTTCTTTAATATTTTCTCCCTTTTTTACAAATTTCCTGGGAAGGAATTGTTTGAATCCATAAACCAATAAGTACCATTTCCTTCGTAGAAATATCAATTTTTTTCTCTCTCTCTCTCACCTTACCCCTATTCTCGCTCTCTTTGTTATACCACATTGTCTCATAATCCATATTTCATGAGGAAATCAAATAATGTTATAATTTACTATTTAATTGTATTATTATATTATTTATATTTTTTTATTTATTTATTATAATATTTATATATTTATTCATTATTTTCTTTATAAATTTATAAAATCATTTAAACATACAGCTTTTAATTTTACAAAATCACCAAACAAAAATATTAACCGCCAGCTGGTATACGCTGAGAGATGACATTGCCAGTTTTAAATGTCATCAAAGACAGTTGTTGCCTTTCATGCACACGAAGTTAGTGGCAAAGTAACGTAGGCAACAGTACGTTAGTAAACAGTAATGTAATGACGTTTTATGCTTATTTGTCGCACTTAATGGAAATTTAAGGCAATTTTTAACCGATTTTATGTATTTATTTGTATGAAAACTAATACTAAAATCAAAGGGGAAGAGTAATTAAAAAAAAAACTTTTTGCTTTAGTTACATTTTCATCACACGTGTTTTGTAACTTAATCACCGTTTAGGTTGTCAATTATAACTTCATCAATAAAAAGTTGGAGTTACACAAAAATTTTATTTTTGTGTAAATGTTTTTATGCATTTTTAAACATATCAAAATTATTAAATTATTGAGTGAAAAAATGTATTATTGATTAAATAAATAACCGCTGACAAATAAACTTTATGTAATTTTAGTTCTAGTCAAAACAGCTGGGATTTGGTATCTCGATATAAAAATCGTGTCGTGATTAAAAATTTATTGGGTGGGCCTTTATCATCATAAATGTGTGAACATTGATCGTCATAATAGTGACTATAGGAGTACATCTAGCACCAATGATTGAAAATATATGTTTGTGAGATATTTTGAATTTTATTTCTAAATGTTTTTTGTGGTCTATTGTTGCTCTCTTTCAGAACCTGGAAGAATCTTCTAGTAATCGAAATTGTTTTCCATTTATCCTTTGAAACCCACTTTTTGAGTACGGGAACATACCAAATGTTATTTTTTTGTACAGGTTTGCAGCTACAACCATATGAACAGGTAGCGTACTGCAAAAATCTACTAGATTCTACTATTTTTTCCGTAATTATAAAAGGAAAATTTGTTATCAGTCCATTTAAGAATAATTTAGTAGTCTAAGTTTTCTTGACTTTGCCTTTGATTTTTTTATTTTGGCGTTGAAACGTTTTTTGAGTACCAAGAATATTTTGGCGAATTTAAATGAATTATTTCTTGTGCTACATTTTATTAATTTCAGATGGCCTATTTAATTTATCTTCCATTTAAACATTAATTTCCCATCATTTAAAATATATTAGAGATTCTTAGATCGACTTTTCCCCATCAATAACATAAAACAATCGATTATTTCCTTTTCCCATTGGTTATTCAACAGTCGACCTTCTTAACCCTAATTAGCAATTCTCTACAATCGCTATTTCTCCAGAATACGCTACTTAAGCGGAGTGTCCATCACACCTCATTCGTAAATTTTATTAATTTCTTCTGGTTCCTCTTTGTGTTGCTTCTTTATCGGATATTTTTTCTCTGTCGTCCCCTTTTAACAGCTGGAACGTTTTTCATTTCGTTTGCAGTCAATTGAAAAAGACGCCAACAAATTGACAACTCACAACAGATTTCAATTACGGAAAAGATTTTCAACTTATTAACAATAAATCATCGCATTTTAAATCAAATAATCGGAAATATTAATTAAGTTTGTTAATTTGCAACAAAAAATATTAAAAATTTGCCATATTTGTGCAAAAGTGTTCTTGTAATTGATTGCCAATCAAATCAAAGCGGGATTTGTGTATAAAAATAAAAAATACAAAAAGCAAAACATAAACGAAGATAATTACGAAAGCAGAAACAAACAATCTAAAAAAACAACAACAGCAACAAAGCAAAAACAATTTTCTTCTTCTTCCTCCGTTGACATCGCAAAACTAACCTCACTTTTTAGTGTCGAGTATACCGAAACAACGAAAACGTCAAAAACGCGCGTACGACGACGGCACACACACAACACATCACACACAGCTCCTCTTTTAGACAAAAAGAAAAGGCATAAAAGAACGGCTGCTCTGCTGGAATAAGACAGATTTTTAAAGATAAACAAAGGTAAGTGGTCCCTAAAATTGGAAGCAGACTAAAATATTTATTTGCAATTAATTTTCTTCTTTTTGCTATACCAGTTGTTGGCTGCTGTATTGAACGGAGGCGTACATTGTCTGTGCCCCTGTCGTCCCATCGTTTGGACCAGAGCAGCAACAGTCAACGACGTTGAGAATTTCTGCTATAGACAAGTGGGAAAATAATTTTGCAAAAATTTCACCCAAACGAAAACAAAGTTTTCAACATATCAGAATGGAGGTGGACGATGCCATAGTTATGGCCGAAAAGCCAACGGCAGCAACAAATGTTACGGCCACAGCAGTTAACGAAGACCAGACTGTACTTGGTGCGGCTGACGAAAGTGGCGGCGAACGGGAACAAAATACACCAACAAGTTCGCTAATCAAGCAAAAACGTGCCAAACTAAAAAATGACAAAGAAGAACCACCAGGAGGAACAACCGATGCGGTTACACACAATGAATCGGCTACACCATTTAAATTAGAAGTTTCTGGTTCGGAAGGCGAGGAAGAAGAAGAAGCAGATGATGGTGCAACCAGAGCTGCCATAAGGCGTAAATTATTGTCTACACCCTTGGAAGAAGACGGCACGGCAAATGATGGTTTGGATGAGTATGAAACAGTGGCCTTGAAACGTAAACGTTATGAGGTGAGGAGATCGGGATCAGAGGATTGTCTTTTGGGTTTCGATGAGCTGAGTGGAGAGGCGGAATTGGTAAAGCCAGAGGAGGTGGGAAAAGAGGAACAGGAGGAGGAGGAGGTGGGAACTCAGGTTAAAGCTGAAGCTGTGGAATCACCTAAATCGGTTAAGAAGGTAAGAAAATTTGATGTGAAAAAAATTTAATTTGAAATAATTATTTTTTAAATTCTATTGCAGACACCACCACAAAAATCTGCTCAGTCACCGGTGCAAACTGCCTCACGCTCATCTTCAAAATCCCCTCACAGTCAAAAAGCAAAATCTCCAAAATCTCCGGCCTTGCAGTCGTCACCCACAACCAAGCCTGCTGCTGCCCAGAAAACACCACCCAAACCCCATATTGTGGCCGATGGTGAGGAAACAAATGGTGGCCAAGATGTAGAAATGAAACCAGTTGTACAACCTCCCCCGGTGGTACCGAAAAAACCTTTATCTCCCCAGGATGAATTTTATAAGAAACCCTTTGATTTTGGCTGGAAAAGAGAATTGGTGTGGCGTGCCAATATAGAAGCCAGTAAGGATAAAGCCGATGTATATTTCATTAGTCCAGCTGGCAAGAAGTTAAGGGCTCGAAATGAAATTATCCCGCTATTGGAGGGCGATCTTACCATAGATCATTTTAGTTTTGCCAAGGAGCCATTGGGTGCGGGTCCCGAATTTGAAATTGTGCGTAGCGCCAAACCCTCATCGCGATCATCAGTGGCCACAGCTACATTGGCAGCGGCTCCCTCACCACCCATTGTAGGCAAACGTGTGTCGAAACCCAAGGGTCCCAAGGGAGCCAGTCCACCACCGCAAGGCTGGACACCCAGCAAGGCTTTGAAAGTTAATAATGCTGCTCTGCTAAGTAGTTCTGGTAATCCAGGAAGGCATTCGTCGTCGGCTTCATCACATCATCATCATGTACAACAAAATATGACATCTACACCGGTTAGCAGGAAACATGATAATGCCTCGGCGGCAACGGGCGGTCATAATGCCAGCAGTCATCATTCCTCGAAGAATAGTAAACTGAAAAAGTAAGTAAAACATTTTTATTGATATTTTTTTGATGTTTTTGTATATGTAGTAGACATTTGTGGTATCCTATCCCCAAACCCCTCCTCATGAACTAGTTGAAAAATTCTTGTTTAGCTCGCTCTCGTTATTGCTTTATTTTTTTGTGTCTCCCCCAAAAAAGGTCCTTTAGATGCTAAAACAAAATTTGCCAACAACAACAACAAATATGTTATCTTCTCTTTTATATAGATCCTCGTCATCAACATCTTTAGTTGGCAAACCAAACAACGAGGGTGGCAAAAATTCGACCTCTAAGGAAACCTGCAACATTGGTTGTGCCAAGGCCACCGGCCAATTGCCGCAATTGCAGTGTACAAAATGTTTTTGCCTTTATCATCATGAATGTGTGGCCATTGATCGTCAGAACAGTGACTATAGGACCACATCTAGCACCAATGGTCGGGAATATATTTGTGAGGTGCATTTGAAATGAATTTTTGTTGTCAATTCATAGTTTATTTTGAAAATTTCTTTTTTTCAAAGGCTTGCAGCCCGAAAACTGTAACCACAACAAAATCAAGTAATCACAACAATACGACTGGGGCAACGCCGCTGACATCGGGAACTGCCGCCTCAGGGTCACCGGCCTCAAATAAACCGCCAAAACCCGGGCCAGTGAATGCCAAAATGCGCCAGGAAAACAAATATCCCCAGACAATAGCGGTGGTCAAGGGCAAGAAATATGTTATGGTTGCCAAGCCATTGACACTGCCACCCAACGAGTGAGTTTTGTAAAGTATTGCAGAGGTTTCCTTTTTACATTAACTAAAAAAGCGAGAGCAGAGCGAACATATTTATATTTTAGGGGCATGTTTTGTTTAGGCTTTCATGAATATTTTTTGGAATTGATTTTGAAAACTAATTTTAATATGTGTTTTTTTTTCTTCTCCTTGTTTAGGCAAGTCAACAATGATATTGAAAATGATTTGAAACAGATAAACGAAAGCATCAGGAAAAATCGCAAACAATCAAACAATTCCCTTGATGGTTATAATTCTCATAATTCTCAAGTAGCTGCTGCACCGGTGGATCATTCGAGTAAAATCTTTGCCACCAATTTCTTTGCCAATGTTTCATATGCCTATGATTCGTTGCTGTGTATTATGAAATATTTGAAAATACATGTAAGTATATAAGGGGATTTTTCCAAGGAGAGGTGTTATGGATATCAAGGATATAAGAGCTAAAGCAGAGGCTATCATCGCAAAGGTGCAAAAATAGAAAAAGGCGGAAGAAAAGGGTCATAGAGTAAGCACGTTCAGCGTTGGGGATTAATGACTACGAACATTAAAAATGTCGCTACGAAGCTAATTCTCGAAATTTAAAGGGCCATACACCGTCAGTAAAATATTTCCAAACGACCGATATGTGGTCAAGCATATAGAAAATTTGCCAAATAACCCAGATTTCCTACGAGGGGGAGTAAAGAAAAAATTGATAATCCAAAATAACACCTCTCTTTGGAAACCCTTTTTTTAAAATCAATATAAAATACGAACAATTTGTATTATAAATTATATTTTTCACCTTCCAGGAACGACCTCGTGCCGCAGCTGTTTGTAAATTATGGAATCTAGCGGCCAAGGACACCTCCTTGTGGAAAACTGTACGCATGAAAAATTCCAAGGTATGCAGCTGGTCAGGTTTTGCCGCCGCATTGCGCCGTGGTGAAACCAAACATTTGGATTTACGTAAAATGTTACAACCCAGTGGCCGTAGTGAAGATCTGTGGAATGATTTCTGTGAAAATATTGGCACTGTCTGCTCCCTGGAAAGTATATATCTTTGCCGTTGTTCCGCACGCGTCGTCGAAAGTCTTTTCCAATCTAATCGTAATTTACGTATTATCAATGCCTTGGCCATTAATGATGATACCATAAATTTGGAAAATATCTCACGTCTCAATTCGTTGGAAGAATTACGTTTAAGGACCTGTGAATCGGGTGTATTGGCTGGTGATCTGGCTCCCCTGGCCACACTCAGCAAATTGACCCATCTCTCGCTGACCTCCATAAAGGGTTTGGGTGAGAAGAGTGTTGAAATTTTGGGAGAATTGAAAACGCTGCGTTCCCTGGAACTGGGAGAATGTGGTGATTTTGATTCCACCTTTGCTGAGGCCGTTCTACCCAAACTCATTAATTTACAGAGGTTGCGTTTGGAAAACGGCTCGGTGACAAATGTCTGCACATTGGAAATTCTTGATTCAGTGGCCCGCCTGGTGCAACTGCAACAATTGGAATTGGTAAATTTCGACATCAAACCCGGCTTCGATGAAAAGTTGAGCCTGTGTACAAACATTACCAAATTGTTGATCATTCCCACCTATATTTCCCAATCGGCGACCACAAATCAAATTGTGTTAAGTGCCGTCCAGCAAGTGGCCGATACACTGCGGGTGTTCACCTGGTGTGTCACCGTAGAGCTATTGCGTGTCACCGCCCTCTATGTGGATCAATGTGAAGAGTCCACCAAAAAGGAAAAACACCACTTCGATGAGTGTATACCAGTTCTGAAACCTGTGCCGGGTGCACCGCCCAATGATGAAGATGAAGAGGAACTGAAGGCCCACAATGCCGACACGTCGGGAGAGGAAAACAATGGAGATGTGCCACAAATTGAAATTTTACCCTTGGACAAGGTGGAGACCATTTTGGCAGAGAATTTGCCCAATACGAAATTTACAATTGTTAAGGTGCCCTATCATGTGACATGTAAACAACAATTGGTGGACTAAAGTGAAGAAGTGAAGGGACGAAATGAAGGAAGGATTTAGTAAATGCCCAACCACATGTACACTTAGAAAAGTGTATGTATGATATTTGTTTTTTAAATTACCTTTTAAAGGAATTACAATACTTCCACAAAGGCGGGAAGTGAAGTTAAACATTATGACGCAGAGAACGAGGGAGAGTGAGACAGAGGGAAACCCAAGAAGGACACCACTATTGTGAATAACTTGGAATTTTTTTTTGTAATGTAAACAAATATTTTTTTTATTTTTGAAATCATGTGTAATATTTGACTGAAGAAATGAACATTGTAATAACGGAAAACAAAGAGAAGAAGAAGAAAAAAATTCTAAAGGATTTTTTTTTTTTAAATAAAATATTTTTATTATTTTCATTTTCAAAAGGAGGTAAGGACCATACCCCCTTGTGTAGGTTTTTAAGGATAACTTAGATTTTAAAGAAATAAAATAAGTAAATATTAACTCCCTCACCACTTCCTATGACCCAAAAATTGCGATTTTAAAACAAATTGTAAATGGATAATGGATGCAATTTCGATAGAAGGGAGATTACATTTTACAAAATTTTGTTTTCTTTTTTTATAGAATATAATTAGCATAAAAAAGGTAGCATAAGGTAATATCACACACACAGCAACAACAAAAAAATAAAATTACATTTAACCTGAAAAGAAGAGTACCACGTGGTTGAAAATTAATAATAAAAAAACAATTATTTGTAACCCTGTGGTTTTGTTTAAATATTTTTAAAACACGATTTCAATGATAATGATTTACAACACAACAAAATTTGATAACCATGAAAAAAATTCTACCGAACAACAAAATATTTTGATTATTTGTTGCAATTAAAAAAAGAAAACAATGTTGCAATACTTTGTATATTTTTTTAAATATTATTATTATAGCTATACAACATACACATATAATTTTTTTGGAATAAAAAAACTCTATGCTTATAGAATATTATTAAAAAAGATTTGAAAAATAAATCAGATATATTTTAATTTCTTTGGGGACGAGGTATAACAATAATTATAAGCAAATAGATTTTTTTATTTTAATTTATTTTCATATATGACAAACTAGCAAAAATGCCCAAAGAGATTCAAAAACCCACAACCAATAAATTTTTATTAAAATGTTAAAAAATTCTCTGTCAGAAAAAAACCAACAATAATCAACTTTGTATTAAAAATTTATTACAAAAAAATTCTTTGTCAGAAGTGGGATTCGAACCCACGCCTACAGAGTAGACTGCGACCTGAACGCAGCGCCTTAGACCACTCGGCCATCCTGACACATGCCAGCTGGCTGGCAAATGTTGGTTTTGTTTCCAAAACACCAATGCCATGGCATTGTGTGTGCTCTCTGTTTACTCTCTTAGAACATATGGCAAAATTTAACCCTCATTTGGCAGTGGTGGGTCATTAGAGAGTGGAAAAATATTTTAAGTGAGAAATGTTAAAAAAATTTTAGTTTTAATATGGAAATTAAAATTCAATCAACTAGAAAAAATGCTGATTGGTCTTCTTATAAGACTCCTATGTTATTAGGAGACCCTCCACAGATCCGGTATACTTATAGGAGAATCGCTATAGGTCTCCTAAATTAATAAGAGACCGGAGAATTTCATATATTAAAGGAAGACCGTCTATATGTCCCTTATATTAATAGAAGTCCTTCTGAAGGTCCCCCATAGGTCCTATATAGGGGTATAGGTTTTCCAAAAATATAATAAGAGTCTTTATTTAGGTGCCCTATAAATATAAGATACCTAATTTAGGTCTCATATAATAATTATAAACTTTCTTTAGGTTTCCTATAATAATAAACTACCTTCTTTAGGTGTCCTATAAATATAAGATACCTTATTTAGGTCTCCTATAATTATAAGATAATTTCTTTAGGTCTCCTATAATAAAACACATTCTTCAGGTCTCTTATAATAATAGGAAACTATCTATAGGTCTCTAAATGAAATAGAAGATCTTGTATAGGTCTCAATATGTTTCCTATAAAATTGGATACTTTTATAAATTTACTATAATTTTAATATACCTTCTAGAGGTCTGCTATAATATAAATATATACCTTCAATTCCTTCCTGTAATAATAAGAAACCTCCTTTAGTTATCCTATAATAATAAGAGACCTCTATAATAGCTCCTATAAAAATAAGATACATGGGTCTCCTATAATAATTGAATGCGTATAGATGGACTCCTAGAAAAATAAGAGACCTTGTACAGGTGTCCTGCAATAAAAGGTCTATGCAATAAAAGAAAACCATCTATAGGTCTCCTATAACAAAATACCTTTTACCAATAATTATAGGAAACTTTCTATACGCTTGCTATAAAGTTAAGGCACCTTCAAAGGCCTCCTATAATGCTAACAGACCATCTTTAGGGTTCCTATAAAAATTAGAGACTTTCTTTAGGTCTCCTATAATGATATAATTCATATATAAATCAAAGACCTCTTCGAATAACCTGCAACAAAAGAAAATAATCTATAGGTCTCATATAAAAAGAAAACCATGTATAGGACTCAATAGGTTTCTTATGAAAATTGGGGTCCTTATTTAGATCTCCTATTATAATAAGGAGGTCTTTTATAATATTAAAATGCCTTCTATTGGTCTCTTATAAAGATGTGAAACCTTCAACGGATCTCCCAAGAGACATTAAGTAGGTATCCTCCATTAATGTGGGAATTCATATGGGTTTCCTATAAAAATGTGAGAATTTCTTATGGTCTCTATGGGTCTCCTATAATTTTACAAGAAGAAGCAGATCTCCATTATTAATAGGTACCAAATTTATCCCCTTCTGAGCCATAGGCATCCATCCCTATTTATTACATCTAAAATCCTCTCTCCATTAATGCCTTATTTATCTCTCTCCCCAATAATCTCCATTACAATGCTGCTGCCGACAGCTATTTTTATGTTGTGGCTCTCGTGAGCGACTTCGGCAAACATCAGTTGTGTGAGCGAATGTTGGCGTTTATTTCTTTGGCCGTTGGTTGGTTCGTTGGACGACAGTTTAACAGTTAAAAACATTCAAACAATAACAGTCGACGGTGAGCAGTCAAACGTTAAAGTTGCGCTTTTAAAACACGAACGAAAGTAGAAAAAAATTAAATATTATTATTGTTGTCTAGAGTTGTTTGTTTGTATGATCATTTTGAATTTTATGAAAAAAATATTTGTGTAATTTAAAAAAAAATTAAAGGAAAATAAAAAAAATTTAACTTAAAAAACGCACAACGACAGTTACATTCAAGTAAAAGAAAAATAATACACAACTTAAACGAAAAGAAGCAAAAAATATCAAGGAAAAATCCTGTTTCTTTGCAAAGTTCATTTCAGTGAGAGAGTAAAAAATCTGTATTTCCAGTTATACTTCCAAGTGGATTAAAAAAAAAAAAACAAAAACAACCAACGAACATACTACATAAGCCCGGCTCGACCAACGTATATAAAAACCTTTCAAGGCTACATTCCAGTTTTTAAAACAACAACTGCATTACATTTGCTTTTGTAAGGCTCCATCACAATTGCAACAACAACCCCAACAATGCGACAAACTGCAGTTAACGAGGTAAGTTTTTTATTTCTTCTTCTTCTCCTTTTACCTTTCTTGTAATATCAACTCTCAGAAAGGAACTCGCGTTGCTGATTAGAAATTGTTGTTGCAGTTTTGTTTGTGCCTGCTTACCTAATGAACAACCAACGGAAATGATCTGCAAGAAAAAATGAAGTCAATCATGATGATGATGCAGTTGTGTTGTTTTTGTTTGTTACATATTGCATGTAACAGTAGTGGCATAAGATGACTCTTCTTCTTTTTTCTTATTCTTCTTTATAAAACCCCAATTGTTCTTAATCCCTTGCTTTGGCCTCTCCCCCATCTCTGCCTCTCAGTAATAATGATGGCCTCTTCGCCTAATGTAATTGTTGTACTTGTTGCTATTATTTTTTTATTTTGTTTTTAATTGTTACCGTTATTGCACTCAGAGCATTGCCTGCTGCTGCCTGCCTGCCATTGACACCTGTTGCTGTTACTGTTCTCTCCTGTTGTGCTGTTGTGTGTGCGTGCTCTTGTTTGGTTTTTTAATGATACGCTTTTTGACATATGGCGTTCGGTTATTTGTTATTTTTTCGTCGTTGTTCTTTTTTTTTTTGGTGTTACCAAGAAAACCTTGAAATTGTGTTTTGTTGTTGTTGGTGTTGGGGGAAACATTGAGTGATGTTAACAGCAAACACCAACAAAAGTAATAACTCATTGTTCTATCATCACACAAATACATTAGACATTTCTCCCCCATATGCAGCAACAACAACAACAACGGAGGAGTAACATTGCCTTCTCAAATGACAACTGAGCATTGCCAAAAGAGCCATTAACGCCGTTAAAAATGTGACAATAACACCTGTACCTGCATTTTTGTTGTTTGCGTTTTCGTCTTTTAATTTTTTAACCAGACGGTGTTCCCTTTTTTATTTTTGCCTTGATATACAATTACAATTAATTTCCGGTCGGTGTTAAAGGAAGTTCGCCGGCACCTCACCCCTCATTAATTCAAATCAAGAGTCAAGAGAAGTTCTACATTTTTTGGTTTCGGCCAGAAATTAAATTGTTTGGTGGGCATTCAGACACATAGAAGGGGTTATTAGAGGTATCTTTGAGGTATAGAGAAAAAATATAAAATGTTAAATAGGTGTATTTCTAACTTCCCATGAGTGGCCTTTGTAAAGCCTTTTATATTTTTTATATATTTTTTCTTTCCTCAACCCCTTGTAAATTGTCGAGGAGAGTTCTACCCCTTATTTATAGGTAGTGGTAGAAGAGAGGTTCTTTAATTTTATTATGGTAATTATTTTTAATGATCGTGATGATTATTTACACCCCCTTCCCAGCCTATAACTGGAAATTTCTAGCCACTCATTGTAGGCCAAAAACTGAAACATAATTTTTTATTATTGCCACCTCTTTGTTTATTGACCCTTTTTTACATTACTATTCATCCTCCTCCACCTCCTCCTTATTCTCATAACTTCTCTACAACATTCTCTCTTTTTAACCATTTCATGGCACCACGATCATAATGATGATCATCACGACTCCGATTCCGACACCCTCCCCCATTTGTTTTCTGTTTAGTTTGTATTCAGTTTTTTTTCTTTATTTTGTTTCCTCTGGCCATTGTCCATCATCATCATCATTACCACCACTATGAGTTAGTTCGTGGTTGGCTTCACTGAAGATCCACTCCATTATGAGCAGCAGCTGTGTTGGCTGCCACAGTCGGAATTGTTGTTAGGTTTTTATGTTTTTTTTAGTTTAGCTTCGTTCCAGTGACTAACTTTTAAATATTTGCTCTTATTCTATGGTCGAATATGATGGACATAACTATGGACCTACATACATACACGTTCGTACATAAATGAAAAAACAAACATTAGGGCGGATGTAAACAAAAATTTTGCAATATGAGGGCAGAATAGGCCGGGTGAGAAGAAAAATGAAAAATTGTATTCATAAATGATAGAAGGCATACCAGAAGTTTTCAAAATATAGGGCATCTATTGAAGTTGTAGAAGATCTGGAGAAATCGTAAAGGCTCTCCTGAGGAATATAAAATCTCTAGAATGCCGAAAAACCTCTCGAAGTAGGGAACCTCATGGCAAATATCCATAAGACCTTATGAAGGCCCAGAAGCGCTCTAGATGATCTATAAGTCGAGGAAATCTCTTGCAGATCCAGGAGAACTTTTCAAAAACTTTTATAACTTTTATCTATAAGCCCAAAATAACCTCTTGAAGGTTTAAAAAGTCCTTTGTTAAGTCCTTTCGAGGCCCCGAAACTCCAGGAGAAATATATAAGGTCCAGGAGATCTGTAAAAGCTCTGATGACAGAAGAATATCAGAAGTTTTCAAAATGTAGAAGATATTTTGAAGTTGCAGAAGATCTGGAGAAATCCTCTCTCTTGGTGAATAGAAAATTTGTTTAATGAAAAAGGCCATAAGACCTCGTGTAGATCCAGAAACCATCTAGAAAACTACTTGAAGATCCAGGAGAACTGTTTAAAGCCCAGAAGATCGGTTAAAGTCTTAGAAAACTTATTGAACATCCAATAGACACCAAAGTTTTCTAGAAGGTCGAGAAATAGGTTTCCTAAAATGTAATAAGCTATTTTATGGTCTAGAATGTGCAGATGTCTTTTTGGTAGCTTTGAGAACCTCAAGACAGCCCACAAGATTTCTTGAAGGCTCAGAAGATGACTAGAAGTTGTAGAAGGCCTCCAGAGGTCCAGTAGACTTATTGAAGATCCAACAGACTGCTTGAAGACCCCAAGGCTTTTGGAAGGTCTAGATAAAGATTCCCCAAAAGGTCCATAGGTTCTGAAGTCTTCTTGAAAGCTTGGAAATCTCGAAATGGTTTAGAACACCTCTCGAAGGTCCACATTTTGGCGGTCCAGATGGCGCTTTGAAGGTCCAACAGATCTCTTGAAGGCAAAGAAGATAACAAGAAGGTATAAAAGGCATCTGAAAGTTCCAGAAGACTTATAGAAGATCCGAAAGATCCCGAAGACTTCTGAAAGATCTAGAAAAAGGTACTGCAGAATGTTCAGAGCTTCAGATGTCTTCTTGAAAGCTTTGAAGACCTCTCAAAGGTTCCAGGACCAGAAGATTTCTTGAAATCCCAGAAAATATCTAAAATGCCTTTTTGAAAGCTTAGAAAACCTCTCATATGACCCAAGGCCAGAAGATATCTTGAAGACCGAGAATATATCTAAAAGACCTAGAAGGTTCCTGTGAGGTCCTGAACACTTTTGTTGGTAATTGGACTTCTAGAAGGCCAAGATCCATCAATCAAGAATATCTATACGGATATTCCGAAGGTCCTGAGGAGTTTTTGTTGGTCCATAAGACTTCTAAGAGGTCCTGATGATATCTAGAAGGTCTAAAAAGCCTCTAAATCCACGCCTTAGGCAGCCTAGAAAAAATAAATCTTAAAGAAGCTCCTCTTTAGTTTCCATATTTAATTTTCACACCTTCTCCCTGTCAAACCTCAGGAGTTATCATAAAAAAAAATTACAATTCACCCACCTTTCTTCTTTGCCTCTTAGAAAGGGTTTTCATTTCTCCCATAGCCTACCAAGTGTCTGAACGCCTTTCTGCTCCAAATGATTTACTTTAAATAAGTTGGGCTTTTGTTTTTTAATATTTTTTTTTTTATCTTAACTGCAGTTTGCCTCCCTCTCTTCATTACAGAAAGCTTAAAAGGTTACAATTTCGAATTGTATCTTTTTTATGTATTTTTCTGAAAATAAAATACAACGGTATGAAATTTCTTTTGTCAAAATAAAAAAATGGAGAAAGAAAAGTGTAAAAAGATAGGGTTTTATTGTTTATTTTTTCAACATACAGGTGGTGTCTGTTTGGACGGCGGCTATTGTTTTTGAGTTTTTCTTTTTTTTTTGTTTGTAATCTGTTCAGCAACCCAATTTTTAGTACTTTTCAGAACATGGTTTCATATTTAAATCAGCATTACTAAGGTGATGATGATGGTGGTGGTAGTGGCTGAAGTTCGTCGTGCAGGTGATTACCATACGAATATGAGTGGGAAATGTAATCAAAAAAACCAACAACAACAAGTGGTTGCTGGTGATTTAAAAAGAAGTGGAGGGGAGAAGGGGGTATTATGAAGTTTTCATCACGCACCTGTTGATAAACAAACAATGGGAAATTCATGACTTTAAAAGAACCTAAAATTGTTTAAAAAAAAATGTATAAAGTTCGAAATATTTGAGATTAATTTTGAAATAAAAATTATTTTTATTTACAATAAACTCAAGAAGAAGAAATTGGTTTCGTTTCCAAATCCCTTAAAAAGTAGCAATCTTTGCTACAAACCGTGGATACATACCTACTCCCTCAAAGGTCTGTAGAAGATCTTTGATTTTGATAGGAGCCTTATAGAGGGTTTCACATTTTAAGGGAGTCTCTTAAAGGCAGCCCAACTTAGAGCCTATTATCATGATATTTTATGAATATACCTCCAATAGTCCATTCTGAGTCTATGAGTATCAAACTCCGACTCTGAGGACTTGCTAAAAATAAAAAAAATTGCTCTCCACATTGCCTCTCAAACAGTGCTGCCAGTTAAATTTCATAAAAAATCGTCAATTTTTCAGAAAAAAATCGGCATAATCGGCATTTGTATTTTTAAAAATCGGCAAAAAATCGGAAGCATATAATTTATAAGTAAATTCATATTTTTTTGGTTTATAACAAATCAATATTGTTTATTACATTAAAAAAAAGATAACAAAGTCAATTCTGTATAAAAAAAAATAACATAAAAGATTCATTTTTCTACAAAAAATGTAGATTTTTCTAAAATATAGTAATTATTATGTACACTAGTGAGATCTTTCAGATCATAAAAATAACTTACAAACTAGTACATATTTTTATTACACAATTTTAGTAATTCATTATCAATTTTGACATTAAAACAATTTGAATTATTTAGTTTGAGGTAATATTTAGAATGAAGAATACCTTCCAATGAATCATTATAAAGTGAGCTTC